GAGTCATTAACTTAAGAAGAGCTTTGAAAGGAAGGCGAAGCCTGCCTTTTCTTAAGCTTTTCCTCTTTCCTTCCTTTCTTCCTCTCTCCCTTCCACCTTCTTCCCTTCCTTTCTCCATTTCTCTTTCTTTTTCTATCTTTCTCCTTTCTTCCTTTAATTTCTATCTTGCCTTTCTCTCCCTCTTTCCTTCCTTTTTTCCTTCTCTTCCTTTCTCCGTTTCTTTCTTTTTCTCTTTTTCTCCTTTCTTCCTTTTATTTCTATCTTGCCTTTCTTTCTCTTTCTTCTCTCCCTCTTCCTTCCTTCCTCCGTTTCTCTTTTTCTTTCTTTCTCCCTCCCAAACTTCCTTCCTTCCTTCCTTCCTTCCTCCCTTCCTTCTTCCCTTCATTTCTCCATTTCTTTCTTTTCCTTTTTCTCTTTTTCTCCTTTCTTCCTTTTATTTCTATCTTGCTTTTCTTTCTTTCTTCTCTCCCTCTTCCTTCCTTCCTTCCTTCCTTCCTTCTTCCCTTCCTTTCTCAATTTCTTTCTTTTTCTTCTTTCTTCCTTTTATTTCTATCTTGCCGTTCTTTCTCTTTCTTCTCTCCCTCTTTCCTTCATTTCTTCCTTCCTCTCTCCCTTCCTTCTTCCCTTCCTTTCGCTGTTTCTCTTTCTTTCTCCTCTCTTCCTTTTTTTCTATCTTGCCTTTCTTTCCCTTTCTTCTCTCCCTCTTTCCTTCCTTTTTTCCTTCCTCCCTCCCTTCCTTCTTCCCATTTCTCCATTTCTTTCTTTTTCTCTTTCTCCTTTCTTCCAAACTTCCTTTCTTCCTTCCTCTCTCCCTTCCTTCCTTCGTCCCTTCCTTAATCCGTTTCTCTTTCTTTTTCTTTCTGTTTCTCCTTTCTCCCAAACTTCCTTCCTTCCTTCCTTTTATCTATCTTGCCTTTCTTTCTCTTTCTTTTTTCTCTCCCTCTTTCTTTCCTTCCTTCCTTCCCGTGCAGAACAGAAAATCAAGATGACGGCCCCGAGCATAGAACCAGTTCGATTTACTACCTACTTGGCTGAACCGGTCCGAACTGGTAGGAACCTACTGCTGGTGTANAAGGAAGGAAGGAAGGAAGGAAGGAAGGGCGGGCAATAGCAATAGTACTTATACACCGCTTCATAGTGCTTTTACACCCCTCTCTAAGCGGTTTACAGAGTCAGCCTCTTGCCCCCACAACAATCTGGGATCCTCATTTGACCCACCTCGGAAGGATGGGAGGCTGAGTCAACCTTGAGCCTGGTGAGATTCGAACTGCCAAATTGCAGTTAGCAGAAGTAGCCTGCAGTACCACGCTCTTAACCACCGCGCCACCTAAAGTTAGAGAATCGGGCTTCTCCGTTGACTTTGCTCGTCAGAAAGTCGCAGAAGGGGAATCGCGTGATGCCCCTTGGACACCGCAACGGTCGTTAAGTATGAACCACTTGCCAAGCATCTGAATTATGATCACGGGGAGGCTGCGATAGTTGTTAAGTGTGAAAAACGAACATCGTGCTGTTTAGTGACTTTGAACGGTCACTAGTAAGTGGAGGACTACCTGTATAAGGTTCTATATTTGGGTAGGGACTGTGGTGGAGAAAGGAGATAGATACCTAGACAAATACATAGATAGAAATGAAGATACATAAGTAGAAACATAGGATAGATAAGATTACACAGGTAAGGTACAAAGACAGAAACATAGATAAAGGCTCTCGTTCTCACAGTTCCTACTTGAATTTGTATCTGACAAGGAATTCTCACAATAGTCTACGATGCTACGAAGCATCCACAGTTGCTTTGCGCCTTTGACAAGGAAGTAAATTAAAAGACGCTTACTCCTGGGGAGGAAAGTGGTGGCAAATCTAGACAGCGTCCTAAAAAGCAGAGACATCACCTGCCAATCAAAAGTGTGTCTAGTCAAGGGTGTGGTTTCCCCAGTTGCAATGGATGGCTGTGAAGGTTGGACCATAAGGAAGGCTGAGCGCCAAAGAATGGAGGCCTTTGAACTCTGACGCTGGAGAAGATTCCTACGAGTCCCTTGGACTGCAAGGCCATCCAACCAGTCAGTCCTAGAGGAAATCAACCCAGACTGCTCTTTACAAGGCCAGATCCTGGAGAGGCAACTCAAATGCTTTGGCCACCCAATGAGAAGGAGGGATTCACTAGAGAAGAGCTTTATGCTGGGAACAATGGAGGACAAAAGAAGAAGGGGATGCAGAGAAGGAGGTGGCTGGATGGAGTCACCGAAGCAGTCGGCGTGAGCTTCAACTCCAGAGGATGGTAGAGGATAGGAAGGTTTGGAGGAACATTGTCCATGTGGTCGCTGTGGGTCGGACACAACTTTGCAACTAGCAACAACAACCCAAAAAATCCTACAAGGTTGACTCAATCTTCCCATCCTTCCGAGTTGGGTAAAATGAGGACCCAGAATGTTGGGGGCAATATGCTGACTCTCTTAAACCGCTTAGAGAGGGCCGTAAAACACTATAAAGCGGTATATAAGTCTAAGGGGTATTGCTATTGCTACTAGGAACACATGTGCTCAATGGCACGAGTAAGAAACATTAAGCATTCTTTAAACCAAGGCCACACACCCCCACCCCAAATGTGTTACTTACCTACTTTGTATTCTAAGAAGGAAAAACCCACCAGAGATCCCAATTCAGAGAGTGAAATCCAAGCCATAGTTATTCGTTACATGCTTAACAGTTAACCGCCTTATGCAGGGAGGTAGACTGCAGGATCTCTGAAGTATCCTTCCCGTCTTAGGGTTCTGCGTTTCCTCTTTCGGTGAGCCTTAGCTAGTTACCACATCTACCCATTTTGTAGGTTTCCACCAGACAACGAACAAAGTTTGCGCAACCCAGGAAGCCACAGTAAACTAAAGTTAAGTTAAACCATTACAGCACAGGCAAATCATAATAAAGGGAAAGGTTCCCCTCGCACATCTGTGCCAGTCGTTCCCGACTCTAGGGAGCGGTACTCATCTCTGTTTCAAAGCCGAAGAGCCAGCGCTGTCCGAAGACGTCTCCGTGATCATGTGGCCGGCATGACTCAACACTGAAGGCGCACGGAATGCTGTTCCCTTCCCACCAAAGGTGGTTCCTATTTTTCTACTTGCATTTTTGACCTGCTTTCGAACTGCTAGGTTGGCAGAAGCTGGGCCAAGTCACGGGAGCTCACTCTGTTACGCGGCGCTAGGGATTCGAACTGCTGAACTGCCGACCTTTCTGATCAACAAGCTCATCATCTTAGCCACTGAAGCACTGTGTTAAAAGTTAAAGGGGTTTTAACACAGAGTTAAAAGGGACCTTGGAGGTCTTCTAGTCCAACCCCCTGCTCAAGCAGGAAACCTTACGTACCATTTCAGGCTGTCCAATCTCTTCTTAAAAACCTCTTGTGTTGGAGCACCCACCATTTCTGGAGGCAAGTTGTTCCACTGTGATTTTTCTCACCCAGGAATTTTTTTTTCTTTCGCTCTAAGTAGCTTCTCTCCTTGATTAGTTTCCATCCCTTGCTCCTCCAGTCCTGCTCATGGACTATATTATAGACTCATAGGGCCGGGAGGGACCACAGAGGTCTTCTAGACCAACCCTTGCTCAAGCCACCAGCTTTATACCCTCCCAGTCAAATGGTTGTCCGGACTATTTTCTTTTTTGAAAACCTCCAGGGATGAGCACCCAGGACTCCGGAAAACCAAAGTTATTCCATTGTTCTCCCTGCCAGAAAAAATTCTCCTTCCTTCTTGATTTAACATCCCCTTGAAATAAAGAAAGAAGAAAGGAAAAATCTTTTTAAAAACTCTTACGAGGACAAGCCGATCAGCTCACCAGGAGCCAGCAGCGTTCCGTTGCTTAGCAAGAGTTGAAACCAACAAGGCGTTTCTACAGGCGATGGCTCCCCCCCCCCCCCATTCCTTCAAGGTAACCAGAGCAACAGGCAGGTTCAAATCCAGCCTGGGCAAATACACATACACAAGGCAAAGCACGTTCCTGGCCCTCATGAAGGCAGCGCGATTCTTTCGTTAGCTCGCACCATCGTGGATACCCCGACCTGACTGGGTGCTGCGTCTGCGAGGCGCGCGAAGTAAAAAAGGATGAGCAGGGAGTTGGTTAAAGCGGGCGCGGGGGCTTCGTTTGGAGGGGGGGGGAATCCCCCAAATCAAGCGGGGTGGGTGGGGAAAGAGCGTCCCAGCGGGTGACTAAACAGAGCCACGTTTTCAACTCCCTCCCTTCCCCCCCCCACCCCAAAAATAATCTGGTTCCGATCCGCATTAAAATAACCTTCCCAAGGATGCAGGTTTTTAAAAAGAGCGCTCAAACTAGCAAGAAAAGACGACGCAAGGGGTGGTCGCAAGCCCCTTCGCCTTAAAAAACACACGCACACCCCCCCTCCATTGCAATGCCCACCCACCCAAACCCGCCACCTCCGCAAGCAGCCAAAGAAGAAGGGCAGAGATACAGACCCACCACGGGGAGAGCCCACCCTCCCCAGCCCCAATATTTACTTGGCCAAACTTAGTTGAGGGAGGCAACTTTCTTCGGAGTTTTGCAGCCTGCGAAGTTTTTGGAACAAGGGCGGTTCGTTTCCTGGAGCCCTGAATTGGCGGCGGCTGCTGCTGCGAGGAGCCAGTGTCGAAACGCATCTGGAGGGAGGGGAGGAGCCAGCTAGGCCAGAGCTGCAAATGACAAGGCTCTCCCCCAATGGCAGCTTGAGGGAGGCGGGGGCAGCGGGGAGGGAGTCATTAACTTAAGAAGAGCTTTGAAAGGAAGGCGAAGCCTGCCTTTTCTTAAGCTTTCCCCTTTTCCTTCCTTTCTTCCTCTCTCCCTTCCTCATTCATTTCTCCGTTTCTTTCTTTTTCTCTTTTTCTCCTTTCTTCCTTTTATTTCTATCTTGCCTTTCTTTCTCTTTCTTCTCTCCCTCTTCCTTTCTTCCTTCCTTCTTCCCTTCCTTTCTCCGTTTCTTTCTTTTTCTCTTTTTCTCCTTTCTTCCTTTTTCCTGACTTCCTTCCTCCCTCCTTCTTTCTTTCTTTTCTTTCTATATCTTTCTCTTCTCTTTCTTCCCAACTTCCTTCCTTCTCTTCTCCTTCTTTTCTTTTCTTTCTATCTTTATCTTTCCTTTCTCTTTCTTTTCTTTCTTTTTCTCTTTTTCTCTCTCCTTTTTTCCTGACTTCCTTCCTCCCTCCTTTCTTTCTTTTCTTTCTATATCTTTCTCTTCTCTTTCTTCCCAACTTCCTTCCTTCTCTTCTCCTTCTTTTCTTTTCTTTCTATCTTTATCTTTCCTTTCTCTTTCTTTTCTTTCTTT